CAATCACTCGATTTTTCTCAAGTTTGTCTGTCTTGGCAGATAAAGCAATACCATGGAACAGGCCTACGAACACACATATTTGATCAGGATCGGACGATTGGACACTTTTAAAAGGAGATCTTTCGTGCCTCCCGGAAATTCACGGGAGAGCAGATGTGGGGTTTAAAAAAAGGTGTCGATATAGCGTTTTCAATCACTCGGCACCCTTTTACGAGAATGGCGCCCTTTTCATGATCTCAAGGCGCCCTCGTAACCATCTGGCGCCCCCACGTCCCCACCAACGTAGCACTACACTGAAAACAAATCGACACAGTGAGGGCATGTTCTGTACTGGTAACACATCAGTCATGTGTTAATCGCACCCAAAACACAATAAGGCTGTGTATTTTCACGCTTGGCGGGACCTTCGACACGTTTGATAACACATAAAACAGAATAATGACACAATTTTATCGTGCCAAGCACGCTGGACGAATGTAATGCATCAGTGTATCGAAATCATGTGTTGTCGGATATGGTAGATGTGTACCCTTGCACAAATACACCGTGCCATCCACCAGTGAGCGACCTCTGAACCTTAACTTCAGATGGGGATAATAGAGGGCGTTTTTCGAGCACCTACTTTTATGCTGGGTTTTTGTAAAAAATTGCCAAAGTGTTTTGAGAAAGGTCAAAATGCACAATACAGCCGAGGGAGTCGATACATGATAAATTGTCTAGAGCAATATGCGCTGATTACATCAAGTGCAAGCTGAAGCATGGCTAATTAACGTCTGTTTGGAGGGAGAAACTCCTCGGTCTATATAGGATATATTTGAAAAATTGGTGGCTGGAAATTCAACACAGGCTAAGGTGATCGTTGACTTGCTCCGGCAGTTGGCATTTCACGGGTTTGTTTGAGAGCTCTTCCTATACTCACCTACCTACCCACTTTGATCCAGTTCTTCCCTACTGTCCCACTCCTAGAACCCTCCCTGCTCACACCCGCATTCCGTTTGCCCCATCATGGGGAAGCGGCGCCGTCAGCGCCCGCTTTCTGACTCCTATACCGACTCCGACTCTGACTCCCCTCCAATCTCTACTCCTGCTCCTGACCTCCCTCCCGCCTCCATGGATACCGACTCCCACCCAATCGTCATCCCTCCCTCCTCTGCCCGCCCCTCGACTGATCTACCCGGTACCGACCCTCGCTCGTCCACTGACCACGCCTCTGACCTTCGCTCGACCTCTGACCCCGCCCGGCACTCTGACCCTCGCTCGTCTACCGACCTCGCCCGGAGCCATGACCCTCGCCCGTCCACCGACCACTCCCGGAGCTCTGACCCGCGCACGAACTTAGACAACGCACCTGCCTGTGATTCGGTTGATCGCGCTCCGCTCGAGCCTTACTTGCATCTCCACGGTTCTTTTCTGGTTATCAAGCCCTGCGACGACGACGTTTCTTTCCGGAAGATGAACGTTTTTTGGCCTAGGAAGCAGATCGCAGCTATCACTGGTTCCATGGATTTAGCCATCGAGGCTCCGGCAAACGGCTCCCTGATCGTCAAAACAAACTCCCGAAAAGAAACCAAACCGCTCCTGAAGACCACGACTTTCTGCGGCAAGAAGGTGACAGTCTCGCTCCACCAAAGCCGAAACTCCTCTAAAGGCACGATTTTCGCCCCGGAACTCCGCCATATGTCTGAGGACGAGATTCTGTCTGAGCTCAGGGGTGATGGAGTCTCGCATATCCGCCGCCTGACTACCTTCCGAGACGGTCAGCGACGTGATACCAGTCTACTCGTTCTCACGTTCGATAGCACGACATTGCCTGAAAAGATCACGATCGGCTGGGTCAAAAAAGATGTCCGCGTGTTTATCCCGAACCCTCTCCGCTGCTTCAAGTGTCAGCGTTTTGGTCACGGCAGTTCCACTTGCCGCCAGTCTGCCAGATGCCAGAAGTGTGGAGAAGCTCCACACGAGGGCTCAGCGTGTTCCACTCCTGTCCAGTGTCTCAGCTGTGGTAGCACAGATCACTCTGTCTCGTCCTCTCAGTGCCCCATCTGGCAAACAGAAAAACGTATCTGTGAGGTTAAAGCTAAGACTGCGTGCTCCTATCCTGATGCACGACGTCAAGTAGAAGCCGAGAACGCCACTCCAACTCCCGGGAAATCGTACGCAAAGGCCGCCAGCACTCAGACTGTGTCCAGCAGCACCCAAACCGAACCGATCGCCGCGCTCCCTCCCCTGGAGCTTCTCAAGCCCCTCACTCCCAAACCGGCTGCATCCACGAGCACGACTCAGACCACTGAGGCTATCGAGATCGATGAGCCAGCGCCCTCCTCACCTGACTCCCAGCCAGCTGTCTCTCCCGAGATCGCCCAGAAACCGAAACCGACCCCAGGAACAAGCCGTACTACTGGCTGGATCAGAGTACAGGGGCGCAGCGGTGCCCACCCCCAAACCTCTCCTCACACAGGGGATCGCCAACCACGTCCGCCGATTCGCGTCTCGATGGGTAGGAACCGCGCGTCGAGCTGGGCCTCGCCCAGCCGTGGAAACTCCTCTCGTCGACAAATATGAATCCATACACCATGCTACAATGGAACTGTCGAGGCCTGCTTTCTAAGTGGGCCGAGCTAAAAAACTTTTTCTCTGTACTTACACCTATACTCATTGCATTACAAGAAACTTGGTTTTTGCCAACCGATCCGTACAATTTCAATTTATCGAACTACACTTTATATAGACACGACGAGCTTTACGGACAACGCCGACACGGTGGTGTGGCGCTTTACGTGCAGAACGATTATACACATAGCCAACTCGATATCCACACAGATCTTCAAGCCGTTGCATGTACCATACACATCAACGGTAGGGACATAGATGTATGTAGTATTTATATTCCTCCGGATTCTGATAATGCCGAACTTCTTCGACAGTTGAATACTCTTGCCCAGCAATTTCATCACCCTTTTCTTCTGCTTGGTGACTTCAATGCTCATAGTCCAGCTTGGTGGGATGAGCAGTCGTTAGACGGTAGAGGAAAAATAATAGAAGACTTCATAGACATACATAGGTTAGTTGCGCTGAACTGCAACCAGCCGACACATTTTAATTTATCTCACAACTCTGAATCAGCCATCGATTTGTCCCTTTGTTCTCCATGTCTTGCTTCTTGGTTCCATTGGACAGTTGATTCCGATATACACGACAGTGATCATTACCCAATTTACCTTCGCTTTAGTTTCTCTGTTACCGGGATTACGTCTTTTCTTCCTCGTTGGAACCTTGGCAAAGCGGACTGGGTTAAGTTCACTGAGTTGAGCGAACTTAAACACCAGGACCGCTTTCCAAATCCGGAAGATGGTATATCGTACATTACCGATACAATAATTTCAGCCGCGAATCAAAGCATTCCAGTTACAAAGCCATATAGAAAAGGAAACGCGGTGCCATGGTGGTCGTCTGCTGTTCGACAGGCCATCGCCAAACGAAAGCGAGCCTTCCGTGCATATTTGAGATTACGGACAGATCAGGCGTTAGTCGCTAGAAATCGGGAGCGAGCGAATGCAAAACGCATTATACGAACAGCAAAACGTGAATCATGGCAACGTTTTCTGTCTTCATTTACTTCCGCTACACCACTTAGTAAAATATGGGATCTCGTACGCCGAATGTCTGGAAAGCGGGTGAGCCCAACTTTCCCAATTCTTCGCCTTCAAACCGGACAAACCATCAGTGAGCCGAAAGAAGTAGTTAACACATTAGCCTCGCAAATATCACACACCAGTTCCAACGCACGTTATCAGCATGGCTTTGCTGACAACGCACGGCAATTATTTCAAATAGACCACACACTTTTTCTCTCAAACAACAATGAACCATACAATGCTCCATTAACGATTGAAGAGCTCAACAACGCTATTAGCTCTGCTGGAAACACCTCTGTTGGCCCGGATAAATTGCACTATTCCTTCTTTCGTCATCTTTCGAATTGTTCGCGACTTGTACTTCTCGAAACATTCAATGATTTATTCACTCAACACATCTTCCCGGATGAATGGAAAGAAAGTACTGTAGTTGCGCTACTCAAACCGGGCAAAGCAAGACAAACTCCTTCCAGCTATAGACCGATCGCAATGACGAGCTGTTTAGGAAAGCTTTTTGAAAGGATTATTTCCAAGCGTCTCTCATTCGTTATCGAACAACACGGTATGCTTTCGAAATTCCAATGCGGTTTTCGAAAACATCACAGTACGACTGACCACTTGATTCGATTAGAAAGCGAGATACGAAAGGGCTTCAAAAAGAAACAATATACAACGGCTATTTTCTTAGATATCAAAAACGCTTTTGATATGGTTTATAGGCCGGCACTTATATGGAAGCTTCAGAAACTAGGCATCAAAGGAAACATGGGTCATTATTTGTACAATTTTCTGACTGGAGATCGACATTTCCGGGTCAAACATCGCTCCATCTTCTCTGACGTCCACATGGTTGAAAATGGCCTTCCGCAAGGTAGCTGTCTGTCTCCTTTACTTTTCAACATTATGATCGATGATTTGTTCCAAGATATTCCTCCTGGTGTTTCTTTTTCACTTTTTGCGGATGATAGCGCAATATGGTGCACACATTCGGACTATGATGGCGGCATCGCACTTTTACAGATTGCTCTACATAAAATCCAACGATGGTCCACAAAGTATGGTTTAGAATTTTCAGCAGAGAAATCCGCTCTGATGATATTTTCTAAACGTCCCGTTTTAGTTCCTCCTCGTCTTCCAAAGTTGAATAACATCAACATACCACTAGTAAGCCACTTCAAATTCTTAGGGGTCGTTTTGGACCCACGATTAACAATGCACAAACACGTAGAACACGTAAAAACCAAATGCCAAAGGCGACTCAACTTGTTCCGCTGTCTCACCTCTACACCAGCTGGTGCAGATCGGTCTACTCTTCTCCGTCTTTACAAAGCTTTAGTTCTTCCTATCATAGAATTTAGTTGCGCAATGTACGCTGGCGGTAGCCGTACAGCGCTTCAAAAATTGGAGGTGATGCAAAACAATTTTTTAAGGCTAGCACTTGGTGCTCTAAGGACTTCTCCTATACCTTCTCTACAAGTTGAGGCAAATATAGCACCACTTCACATTAGACGTATAGATCTCACTATGAGATATTACACAAAAATAAAACAGTTTCCAGAACATGCAGCTTTTGCAGCAATAGCTACACTTCCTCGACTTCACTTTAGTTATTTGGGACCAGCTGAAAAGCGAACAGGACTTACAATAGCTTCCAGAGTTAAAAAGTATGAAGGTGAATTGGATTACAGCTTGCCAGCAATTCCTCCTCTACCTCGTCTTGATGTCGCGCCTTGGTTACTCCGACCTCTTGCTGTTTCTTTTCTTCTCACAGTCTCAAAAAGGTCTCTCTCGTCTGAAGAAGTACAGCAAACTTTCCTGAAATACAAAACAGAACATCCTACTTTTCGTTTCATATACACTGATGGGTCAAAGGACCAGGACCTCACAGGGATTGGCGTTTTTTCACAAGATTTGATTAGAGTTAAGAAACGATTAAGCAACAATACATCAATCTATTCGGCAGAACTCCATGCCATTCTAACCGCCCTCAATCTCATCAAACAACATCGTATACAGCGAGCCTGTATTTGTTCCGACTCGAAATCTGCCATCCAAAGTCTTCGGAGTCTCAACGTCACTCAGCATACGCATATCAGCATAGTTCAACTTCATCAGCATCTTTCGGAAGAGGGAATAGAAATACAATTTCTATGGGTGCCAGGACATCAAGGAATCATCGGAAATGAAATGGCGGATAGATACGCCAAACAAGCGCTTCAACTTGCGCATGTTTCACAAACACACTTCGATGTAAATGCCGTTCATACTTCTGTCAAATCTCGCTGCCATCGACTCTGGCAACTCACTTGGGATAGTAACGGACCTGGCTCTCACCTTTATCAAATTAAACCTCGTCTTGGATACTGGGTATCGTCCTCTCGAACTTCCAGAAAAGAAGAAAAGGCTTTAGCTAGACTCCGCATCGGTCATACGTATCTCACTCATTCATTCATATACACGAATAATCCTCGACCAACCTGTTCACGATGTAGAACAGTATTGAGCTTGAAACACATAATTTTGCACTGTGAGAAATATAACAATGAAAGAAACGCACTACAACAATACTGTAGGACGCATGCAATGCAGCTTACTTTACCCTCCCTGTTAGGAGACGATCACGAAGATCTCCTGCAACTTCTTTTTTCATTTCTCGTCACAACTAATCTTATCAATCGTCTATAAGGTATTCGGTGTCTAGCGATGTATTTCTATTCCCTCTTCCAGCATAAATAATATAGTATACATCAAACTTATTTACAACACAATGGTGCGCAATGGTCCAAAAGGACCGAAGCACCAAACAAACAAAAGACAAAGACAAAGACAAAGGCTGGAAATTTAACCCGGCTTTCTGGATAACTGTATTGTACAGTAGTCCTCCAGTTTGGGGCATCGTCATTTGGTGCACTAATTGAGCCGTCCACGTGACGCGTTCACCCTACGGCTCTGAAGTGGCCGACCGGGCGCAACTTCAGCTCGTGTATGGGTCGGCGGTCTCGTATGGGTCGGCCGCCCGGCCGCGTGCTCAGCCCTGACCGCGCCCTGACCTATGGGTCGGCCGGCCGGGTACTCAGCTCTGACCGCACCCGAGCGCCCGATTCCACTCGGGGCCCGGCTTTGGCAGTTAGCCTGTCCGGCTAAAGCCAAAGTCCCTTCAACTGCGCCCCGGCAACAAACTACATAATCACCACGTGTTTCCTTCTTTCACTTGCGATTTGTGTTAAATTTAGTAACACATTTACCTTGTATTCTGCAAATGTATTCACACAAGCCTTATGTGTTGAAGACACAATGATATTGTGTTTTAGGACACAACACGACTGGGTTAACACATTTGTAAATTGACACGTCTGCGACGGGTCAAAAAATGCATGATGCAGGGTACACAAGAAAGCCTAGTTAACACGCTCTGCCTGTGCGTTTTTAGTCGTTTTTTGTGTCATTTTGTTTTCAGTGTACACTGAAAACAAAATGACACAAAAACGACTAAAAACGCACAGGCAGAGCGTGTTAACTAGGCTTTCTTGTGTACCCTGCATCATGCATTTTTTGACCCGTCGCAGACGTGTCAATTTACAAATGTGTTAACCCAGTCGTGTTGTGTCCTTAAACACAGTATCATTGTGTCTTCAACACATAAGGCTTGTGTGAATACATTTGCAGAATAAAAGGTAAATGTGTTACTAAATTTAACACAAATCGCAAGTGAAAGAAGGAAACACGTGGTGATTATGTAGTTAATTGCCGGGGCGCAGTTGAAGGGACTTTGGCTTGGGCTGGGCAGGCTGACTGCCAAAGCCGGGCCCAGAGTGGATTCGGGCGCTCGGGTGCAGTCAGGGCTGAGCACCCGGCCGGCCGACCCATACGGTCAGGGCGCGGTCAGGGCTGAGCACGCGGCCGGCCGACCCATACGAGGTCGCCGACCCATACACGAGCTGGAGTTGCGCCCGGTCGGCCACTTTAGAGCCGAATGGTGAACGCGTCACGTGGACGGCTCAATCAGAGCGCCAAGTGACGATGCCCCAAATTGGAGGACTACTGTACCATACTGTTGTCCAGTCATCAGGGATAAATTTACGGCCACCGATTTTTCAAATATATCCTATATACACTGAGGAGTTTCTTCCTCCAAGCAGACGTTAATTAGCTATGCTTCAGCTTGCCCTTGATGTAATCAGCGCATATTGCTCTAAACAATTTATCATGTATCGACTCCCTCGGCTGTATTGTGCATTTTGACCTTTCTCAAAACACTTTGGCAAATTTTTACAAAAACCCAGCATAAAAGTCGGTGCTCGAAAAACGCCCTCTATTATCCCCATCTGAAGTTAAGGTTCAGAGGTCGCTCACTGGTGGATGACACGGTGTATTTGTGCAAGGGTACACGTCTACCATCCCCGACAACACATGATTTCGATACACTGATGCATTACATTCGTCCAGCGTGCTTGGCACGAGAAAACTGTGTCATTTTTCTGTTTAATGTGTTATCAAACGTGTCGAAGGTCCCGCCAAGCGTGAAAATACTCAGCATTATTGTGTTTTGGGTGCGATTAACACATGACTGATGTGTTACCAGTACAGAACATGCCCTCACTGTGTCGATTTGTTTTCAGTGTACTGACTGTGCGGCACCCTTCTGGCCTCTTAGCGCCCCTGGACCACATAGCGTTTTCAATCACTCGGCGCCCTCCTAAGAGAATGGCGCCCTTTTCATCGTCTCACGGCGCCCTCGTAAGTCGTAACCGTCTGGTGCCTCCACATTTGGTGCCCCTCCTACTGGATGGCGCCTCTCTACATCTTTTTTACGTCCTTCCGGTCAGTTTCCACTTTTAAGCGTGTATTTGCTTAGTCAGACACGTCACTTGAAGCGCCATTCGGCTAGCAATGTTATCAAATTCGGTGTTAATTTAGGCTCCCACATACCTAAATAATATCTATCGCGCACCAAAACGGCCTGGCGCCGGGCGCCCCTACAGCTGGGCACCCACAATCATTTTAGGAAAATTACATCCCTGCCCGTATGTGTGGTTAACTTTAAGCTGATCCTCAAGTACCTATGTGTTTGTCTCTTCCTTATTGTCGTTTGATAAATTCCATTTATCCTACATGTATAATTCCCAAGAAGCCATCGCAGTACTAATCAGTGGCGAATCCCAGGGTGGAGGTCACATGGGTCATGACTTAGGGCCTGGGGTCACCACATGCCTGCCAGGAGCACCACAGGCCTGACAGCCGACAGGGGCACCACAGGCCCGCCAGGGATGCCACAGGCCTAGCAGGGGCACCACGGGCCTGTCAGTGGCATCACAGGCCTGTCAGGAGCACCATCGGCCTAGCAAAAGCACTACAGGTCTTCCAGGGGCCCCACAGACCTGCCAGGGGCACTATCGGCTTCGCAGGGGAACCACCGGCCTCGCAAGGGCACCATAGGCCTGTCAAGGGCACCACAAGCCTGTCGTTGGCAATTTAGGATTGTCAGAGGCACCACAAACCTGTCAAGGGCACCTGCGTTCTAACAGGAGCACCACAAACCTGCCAAGGCCCAGGGACACCACAGGCCTAGCAAGGACACCACAGGCCTGTCAGGGGCACCACGGGCCTGTCGGGCCCATGGGCACCTAAGTCATGTCAGGGCCCACCGTAGGCTTGTCAGGGGGCAGGGTAGGTAGGTACCACAGTCTTTCCAGGGGCACCAGCGGCCTAGCAGGGGCACCAGTCATCACATGACTAACCAAAAATAAAGAAAATAAAAAACTGAAAATAGGGCACCACCAAAATTAAGTGGCCGAAATCCGTTGAGGTTTTAATTTTGGGCATAGGTAGGGGCACCACTTCGATTCATGACCCTCCCTTTGGAGTTTTCCCGAATCCGCCCCTGGTACTAATACATCAAATTTAAGGGGGGCACCTTGCTATTGGTGCCCCCCTTGCAGAATTCAAGGGGGGGGCACGGTGCCCCGGTGCCCCCCCCCCCGTTCCGCCGCCTATGCTCCATAACAGCCTCTAAGCGATCAGATAGACGTGTTTGTTAGATAAGTAATAGCCGGAGTCGGCTTAGAAAGGTAAAGAGTTGGCCTTTGGTAGCTCTCTATCATCGTAGAACAGCTTATCTATGATATGCACCGCCATAGAATGACTGCCGCAATCTTGCGCCGGCTCCCGACTATCCTGAATGCCCGCATTTACAGCCCAATTCTCAATCAATTATGATCAACTGATCAAAATCCAAACGTAAAGGCCGTCTCGGATACGTATGGGCGGAGGCCTCCCCATCTGTTTGTTGTTTTTCGAGTGGATCAAAGTGTAAACACTAGATTTGTTCTTTACTGCGTTTTCAAGGTAGGCGCACCTGCATATAGATATTGTATCATATATGTAAACCAATGTTCGCTGGAAATATTTCAACATTGGAATTAAGCTGGGATGTCAGAAACGAAGAGTCATTCAGTGCAGTCACTGCACTGAATGACTGCACTGCACTGCAGTGTGCTGAAAAGAGCGATTGATTCCGTTCATGTATCATGCTATTAACCCGGCAGGCGGTGGGCCTCCCGGCCACCTTCCGCGCGGTGGGGGGGGGGGGCATTTTTTTGCCCCCCCCCCCGTATTTCCGAAACTACTGGACGGATCCGGAAAATTCAAACGGCGTTCGATAGCCCTGTCAAATTTGTAGACGGAAACCATATTTCATTGACCTCGGGGTCACCGATGACGTCACAGGTCAGGTCAAAGATAAAATGTTTCACCGTTCACGGGTCATCTAGGGAAAGCGCTATAACACCGAGTAAAACGCATTTTGTCGAAAATCAGCGATAGGGCGTCAGTTGTCTAGTACATGTGTTGCTATTAGAGGTCACTGGTCATACCAGGTCAGGTCACAGGTCGGGTCACCAAGGGTCACCACATTGACCATACTTTACTTATATTGTGCGATGCATGTTTTATGGCCAATTTTTCATTTCCAACTCAATGGTGTTGGTTATAAGACCAACAGGTACAGTTTAGGTCACTTTCTGGTGGAGGTCAGGTCAAGGTCAGGTAAAAAAGGTCAAATTTCAAAGTTGTTAGCTTTGCTTAACATGAATATTGATTCGATGCAGCTCGTCACGGGGAGTCTAATGGTGGTCTTTGTTTAAGCTAGGAGGTCTAGAATTGCTAAAAATTGAGTTTGAAAATTTGACTTCATCAATTTTGAACAGTTTTTTTTTTCGCTATAACTTGGCCAAAAAAAGAGGTATCGATCTCAAATTTGGTATGTAGATAGAAGGCGGTAGGGACTATCACAATATTTCGTTTTTTTCGAAATTCGAAAACTTTTCGGATATTTCGGCTATTATATTTGGAAAAATCTATTGTTTGATTTTTGGGGGTCAAATTCCAAAAAATTCAAAAATCAGAGATTATAGTTTTGTAGCCCTCCTAATTCATTCTACATCTTTTATGTCCAAAACATTTTTCTGCATCTCTAAAGCTGTAGGCCTGACAGCTCTTCCCGCGAAACCTTTTTTTTTTTGGTCGAAAATGACAAAAAAAGACGTAACTCTGGCGTCATTAGCGGCCAACCAATCATAGCCTTTGGAAAATTTTGGTCGCAATGTGCAATAGCTATTCACGGGAGGGTACTGAAAGTTTGGTGACGATCGGCTTAGCGGTTCTGGAGATATATCGAAAAACCAAAGGGGGAATGCGCCCCCCCCCCCCCCACCGCCTGGAAGGTTAACGTTGGTGTTCAATACCTAATGTCTCATATACCAATGTCTATATGACATCTATCTAACATCTCAATACCAATGTGTCATATCACGACAGACCGTGCTATATAAAATCGGTTTACGAAATAAATGTTGTGTGTCTGGGTATTCTGTTTTACACACTTTGCCTTTTCTAACAGGCATCGTGTTTACGAAAATACGCAAACAGCAAACTTAATCTGCGCCCCGTTGAGGTCTGGCAGGTTCCAGGCCCTGTCCTTGGTCATGGATGCATTCAAGCTGCATACCTTATTCCCTATCTATAGCTCTATTTATTTCCCGTTGCAAGATGGCAATCCTTGTAAGGTATTGTACTGAAAAATGGTCCAGATATTACACCAGTAAAATGCCTTTAGGGCGAGGAACGAGCGAGCGGGAGAGTGAGTGAGCCCTTTACGTGCGGAAGGGCGAGAGGGCCCTTCCAACTAACTTGTGCATGCACTTGACTATGGATGTTGACATGTCTGTAAGAGAAGCTTGGGAAAAAGATCACAAACGAAGCATAGTCATATTTGCAAGAAAAAAGACCAGGCAGCTATATTTATCCACCACTAAAAGCACTCAGCAAAGGCACGAGCTGTTCCGCCACGCCAGTCCGTGACGTCAGATTCAGAGGATCTCCTCGATCATGGCCGTGACGCCCTCGACCATCTCCTTGCCGCTGGGCTCGATCTGGCTGGCGGGCAGCAGCAGGCCGTACTTGCCGCGGTCGCGCAGTTCCAGCGAGTACGAGTACTTGACGCCGGCGCGGGCCTTGGCCCAGTCCTGCGAGATACCCGACACGGGGTACAGACGCTGGGACGGCTGGCCGATCTTGAACCACGTGCCGGAGGCGCTGAAGATGCGCTGCCGACCCAGCTTGGCCACCCGCAGCAGCTGTGAGTAGTCGGGTGGCCGCTCCTCGCTGTAGCCGAACGGTAGCAGCAACAGCTGCGAGTAGCTGCGACAGACAGACATACAGACATGGACAGACCAGTCAGTAACTGCGAGTAGTCGGGCGGCCGCTCCTCGCTGTAGCCGAACGGCAGCAGCAACAGCTGCGAGTAGCTGTGACAGACGGACAGACATACAGACATGGTCATGGACAAATCAGTCAGGAGCGCTGCGAGTAGCTGTGACAGACGGACAGACAGACAGACAGACAGACAGACAGACAGGCAGACAGACAGACAGACATGGACAGACAGACAGACAGACAGACAGACAGACAGACAGACAGACAGACAGACAGACAGACAGACAGACAGACAGACAGACATGGACAGACAGACACGGACAGACAGACAGACAGACAGACAGACAGACAGACAGACAGACAGACAGACAGACAGACACACAGACAGACAGACAGACAGACAGACAGACAGACAGACAGACAGACAGACAGACAGACAGACAGACAGACAGACAGACAGACAGACAGACAGACAGACAGACAGACACGGCCAACAGATCAATCAGCAGATGCGGATAGCTGGGACAAAGACAGATATGGTTAGCTCAGTCAGCGGCTAGGAAGCAGCAGGCAGCGGCAACCTCAGCTACAGCAGCGACGGCAGCAGCTGTGAATTGCGCGTCTGTAAGTCGTGAGTCGACGACAGCACGGACATACATGGAACAGTCAGCTGACTTCAGTTGTATAATTTACGCTCATGAAATTAGACAGGATGGGAAAGCTAATGCAGGGAAGACCTTTCGTAAATCGGTACTCTTGAGTCGTCATGAAATCGTCATTTGCATATCGTCATTCGTTAAATCGTTGATGAGTTACAATTAGATGCATAAATTGGCCACCGTTTTGCTTAATTCGCCTCTTCAAGGGCTTCCTAAAGGATAATATTTGATTACCAGCCTTTACCAGCTCTCGAGGAAGCGAATAAAATGAAACGTCGGGCAACTGATGCATCTACATAATTCAAATTTATTAACGACTAACGATCTACGATTTACGATTTTATGACGACTCTAGAGAAACGATTTACGAAAGATCTGTGCTGCATTTCCTTCCTCCTCATAATTCACCTTCATGGCTTCACGTGAATAATGTTCAGTTCCACATACCGAATCAATTAATTTAAACTCTCAATCCATGCTTTCGATCTGAATGGTGCACTTTCAATGTCTCTGTCGTATACGAACTGAGCCTCGTATAACCGAATGGGCGTTGATTGCGCCGTTGTGCGGCAGAGGACCGGCCATTTTATTGCACTCAGCCCAACTCCTCGACAAGTGGCCCGCATCAGACCACACCGATCGATGAGAAACACCGCGCATCTGTGACCTGTGTGTTACTTCGGTTTAACAGCAATAGGCCTCCCGGATGTTAAAATCAATGAGGTGCAAAATTAAAGTTGGCGTACCGGAGTATGGATGGTGTATGGCTAGTGGAATGAGAAGCGTGATCGGATATCCAATGACCGTGTGTGACAGACTACTATTTTTCCTTTTTTGGCACGAATATGAAATAGGAGTAACTATTCTCTTCATCTGTTCTTGGACTGACGGTGGTATACGATATAATTACGATACAAGACAAGGCAATACTCTACAATAACATGCACTCTGCATACGATAAAAGGCAATGAATGCATATTGCACATAATATAGTACGAGAAATTGCAATGTAATTGTACAACCAAGTGAGCACCTTCCTCGTAGCAGTAGTGACATCTATAGGTACGTTATTTCGAGATCTCGCTTCTGAGTCTGCAAAGGCAGTCAGTGGGACGGATTTCTCGATTCCTTTTTACAAACATAGCCGCTCAAACATGCCTTTATATTTCATGCCCACTGTATGTTTGCCTTCTCAAGCACACACCGTTACCTGTGAAAGGTGAGGAACATTTCCAGTTTTCCGGCGTGGCTGAGAATGAACCGTCTGACGGCTCGGGTCTCCGGCTCGGAGAAAGGTCTCGGTCCGGCGTAGATGTCGCTGCACGGGTCTCTCGAAACGCCCACCTGTGGGCCATGGACGGGACACACACGCTGCTGTAGGCTGGTGCTGATCCAGTGTCAGCTGAGGGAAGGCAGCAAACCATGAATACCATCGTCATTTGCCTGTATATTTTACGCGTGTGTTTAAGGTGGATAGGAAGCCATATGCTCGAAATCTTCGTATTGTATGTAAAAAGATGTTTATGCATGTGTCGCCATAATGTTTTTTTTTTTTCACAGTTTCCCCGTCACCTTTCCCCAGTAGATATCGAAGTTGCGATTTGCGTCCACGCCAATACACTTCGAGTTGCAGTTCTTTGAGCGAGTCTTTCTCCAGAAGCGGTTCTTCTTTCCACCTGCGAAACATTGAAATAAGAAAGGTCAGTGTACCTACTGTTACATAAAAAAAAGAAATCAAACAATGGGTTTAATGTTCGAAGGTCAAATTTTTGCGGATCAGAAAACTTTATATCAATAAAAAACGCAGCTAACTAATATGAACAAGATATTAACCCTCGCCGGCACAGGCCATTTTGCGTCCTTCGACGGCACACCTGAGGTTGGTATGACCCCCCTCCTCGCGTTTGGCCCCTGATTGGGCTAGAGCTTCGCGGAAAAAAACGAGCGTGTTGCCCGTCACGAGAGGAAGCCGATAATACCTACCCAATTTTAAGGTCCTAGGTCATCAGTTGACCTTCCCGGTCAGGTCAGTGACCCAGGAGTCGGGAAAAATCGGGACCTGTTAGAAAGTCGTAAAGTGTGACTGCTATGGCGTTTTTCGGGGTGCTGACCACGAATACCATGTTAGTTTTGATCAGAGATGATGTCATTGAGCATTTAGACCAGGTCGCACTGTAAACCAAATCTACAAGTTGGCTCCTTGTTACAAGTTTGGTTCCAATTCGCATAGGCGTCACCTTGTCAATACCTTGTCGATTCACCAACCCCAGGCTTGTTGGCCAGCAAACTAACAGTTTGTCTACAAGTTTGGTTCCAATTCGCATAGCCGTCACCTTGTCGATACCTTGTCGATTCACCAACCCCAGGCTTGTTGGCCAACAAACTAACAGTTTGTCTACAAGTTTGGTTCCAATTCGCATAGGCGTCACCTTGTTGAGTACTAGTCTGGGCCTTGTGAACCTACCAACTTCTGGATAGGCATAGCCGTTTCCTTGTCGGTTCAACAACCCCTGGTTTGTTGATGAACTAGCCTTTGACTGGGCATTGCTAGTTTACAAATTGTCTACAAGTAAGTGTACTAACGCTCAGTTCGAACTTGTTCTTCCTTACAATCGCTTTGTTTGCGTTGATAACCTTAAGAACTTACGATTCGCGTTCGTTTTCAATTGCCACGATACTGATTCAGGAAATATTTTCTATACGGACAGGTCATTTTTTGGCTGGAAGTGGTGCACAAAACCATGACTGGCATCAGTTATTGCTCAAAGGCTTGCGCTGACAAGAAACGAAACACTGATGGGTTATATAATCGATGAATGCATACACCACATCCATTCGGAAGTTTCTGGAATCATTAGTATTTATTACGGTCACGTACCTACATCACGTAGTATGTAATTAATACTATTGACTGGAGACAATTCCAAGTGCATATTTTCGAATGGATGTGGTAAATGCATGAGGTATAAGGTATACCTATCGTGCACCGTCAGCATATAAGTCTTTGAAGCAAGAACTGCCATGCGTATGTGGAAGAACATGGTTTTGTGCATCGCATCAAGCCAGAAGTATAACATGCCCGTATGACGAATATTTCCACATTGACCATAACAATCATGGCAGTTGCACGATCACGCAGATAATTCGAATAAATCATGATCGCCAACCAGATTAGCTTTTACAGCCCATATATGTCCATCAGTTAAGTTAAAAATACAAAGAGTTGAATTAAAGGCAAATAAATGTATTTATATATAAAAAAACACCGACCGCAAAACATCTGCTCACATGTGCATGCAAAGGTCTGGCCCACTTACATTGCGCGCGCAGGGGAAGGGAGGCGTCTCGACCGCGGGTATAGGCACGATTAGTGCGTCCCGCAGGCCATGGAGCGGGCCTCACTCACAGCACGAACACCACAGTTCACAGATTTCACTTTTTACTGCACAAATGCTGGAACAGCCCTCGTCGCTGATCCATGCTGCACGGCGGCCGCGCGACAACTGCTGGTTTGAACGGTTTGAAACCGCCGCGCCGGGGCCGGACGGCGACCGCTGATTGGTCCGCCAAGTCTGACGTCACGGGCGCAGCTGACCATGTGTATGCTGACCAGCTGACCAGTACAAGTTAGGCGCCGGTTAAATAACCATGCGGCAACAAGTTTCCAAAACTGGTTAAGAAACAAACGTTGAAACAAATGTAGAGTTGGTCTGGATACTGAGAAGTTGGTGTGCATAGTAACTATTGACTCGTAGTTGTCACCTGACAAGCAATGCACCAGACAACGGCTTGTTTGAAAAGTATCAGTTGGTAAACATACCAAGAGATGATTGGTTATATTACACAAGACTTGTCAATTTGGTTTACAGTGCGGGTCAGGTCAGGTCAGATCAACCAGTAGGGAACTTGACGGGTATTCGTAATACGTGTCAACCACCTCTGACAGCTTCGTAACATGTTAAAAAGGCACCAACACAACTTAGTATATGACTGAAGATCGTTTTTCCATTGGAGCACGTGTTGAGGATGAAAGCGTTTCTAAAGGTTTGTTAGTGCACTCCGTGCACTAACAAACAGTTAGTGAACGGGTCAATGGCCCATACAAAACAGACAGGTCAATGTCCTATGACCTATACAGTCAACGCCGTGCAATTTCATTTTTCATCTATTTTATTGTCTATTGGCTCTTTTTGCCTATTCTATGGCTTGTTTATTTATGTATGTATATTCAAATGTGTTTTTCTCTCTATCTCTGGTGTTCGGACAAAATCAATATCAGTTTCAGAGCCACCCAATTAAATACCAGCAGTGAACAATCAACATGTATTGCAGACTTAGCAATGACACAAAACAGTCATCAATACATGTACATATTACATATTCGGCAGTATTGTCTGCCGTGCGTCCATCACATTGACGTGTGCATGCCCTCCAGGGTAGCTCATACGCTCTCCTTGCTCGTCATGTTGAAGTGTATGTTGAATGTACAGCTGTGGAACTCTGTGCCGACCACAGCACAGCACCACGACTGATGCTCGCGAGATCCGCCGTGCTTGTGACCGTGAATGACGCACCGCTCTGTACGTCGCTGCTGACCTCGGCTACACTGGCTTTGTGATCTTGACGATGCTTATCACTGGAGAAGTCTGCATTTTCAGTTACGGTCCTTGCCATCTTCCGTTGGACGGTTTCCGAGAAAGTGTTTAAATTTACGTACGTCTTGTTCAGTGATTTCCTTTGTCCTGGATGACTTGGTGCTAGCAATGAACTTAATGGCTTCCTATCTCGCTGTTTCTATCGTAGTTTCATTTTTATCTTCATCATCATCAAGTAAATTGCCAATTAAATCAAAACACGGTCTATCACTCATTACTGTTAATTCGAATAACGTGTAACTGCCAAGGCCTAAATTTGCTGACAATGCAAACCGAAATTGTTTCCAGACTTGATTTTTCGCTTTAATTTTGAATTCGCGTGGCGCAGTCATATACTAAATCGCTTAGTACACTCGCGTTTCTAAATTTTCATTTTGTGACCTCGACTGCGTCTCGGTCACAAAATGAAAATTTAGAAACGGTCGTGTACTAAGCTATATTTGTAAATGTTCAAATGGCTGCTAAATTCGAATTCAGCTCCAAAAACTAGCCTATAAACATGTAAAACTCGAAAAAGTGGACCGAGGTTACCAAAGGTCAATGACCTGATCTGACCTTCAGGTGACCCTGACATCCACCCTAATGTATGGGAGCAACATCAAATCATAAGTTTGAACGTTTGAAACCACAAAAAGCTCGCAAACGCGCGGCAAAATGCGAGCCGACGCCTACGCCAAATCGCGATTCCGGCCAAACATGGTCTGGGAAAGTAGGTCACAGGTCAAAGGTCATTTGGGTCAGGGTCATGAAAGTTTCAGGGTAGATGCAAAATTGATCAATGCGAGGGTACTGAAAGTTTCGTTGTGATCGGCCGCTATTTACGCGAGTTATTCGCGAAAACCTAAACCTTAGGGGGTTTGCATCCCCCTGTGCCGGCGAGGGGGATGTTATGTTAATAGACAGCCTGACTTCCGGATCCGACTTATATCCAACTTTTGCGTACTTTTCGGTAGCAGCCTCGCTATATGCTGGACAATTATATGTAGTTTTCAGCATCCTTAAGCTCACCCGTGTAGGTAAACTCGTATCCGTCGGGGTTGAGGACGGGCACGCTGTAGATGGTGAAGTTGCCCAGGATGTGCTCGTGCAGGTGCGCCCGCTCGGAGAACTCTCGGATCAGGTAGGACACCACGGCCGGCGAGATCCACTCCCGACCGTGGATGCCTGCAAAACAGTGCAGGCCTATAATTAGATCTGTCATCCCGTAATACAAAAGGATTTTGCATTCACAACTCGACGATAGCAATGCCAACATGCTACTTTCAATTGTAAACTGTGGCTATAAAAAGCTTTCCAACGTTGTAAGAAAGCTACTAAAGCCTTCTGGACCATCACTGTCAATCTCCAACGTCTAGCCTAGCCTCATCAGTAACCATAACCACCCGTGCGACTCCCAAAACCGGACACCCACCGCCGTCGATCCAGATCTCCCGTTTTCCTTTTCCGCACTTGATCCCCTTGATGTCTCGTCCCTCGGAGCTGCGTCCGATGCTGAACGTCTGGCAGAGCCGGCTGTAGCTATCTGCCACAAAGTCCAGGTACTGATGGTGGTCGGCCAGCCGGTGGTACTTCCTCCAGGTCAGAGAGAACGCGCTGCGAGCCGTCAAGCCGATGTCGGCGTGCGGGGCCGTCGGGTGCTCTGCGTTCACCACCTCCTGTGGGCAGGTCAACGTTGCGGGGTGGTGACGGTGCTCCCAGGCTCCGAGCGATGCGATCGCTCGCTGATGTGGTCGTGACTAGATTACCCTGGTCGTGACATGGTAACACAGATGTCGTGGGCTTCCCGGGAACTGGTGACGTGGGATAAAATACTCGTCTGTATAACGGGATCTTTACATAATTAGCGGTCCAGCTGTCTAGGAGAAAATCTCGCCTGACGAGTCATGATTCATGCTACCTGGCATTCTCGATTTCTAGTATGTGGTGACATCCCAGCCAAATAGGTGCACCTTTAGTGCCAGGTTTCATAAAAAAATATTTTACGTACCACGGAAAAAATTGCTTTCTGAAGAAAATCACTTCAGACAACTGTTTTGCACACACGGAAACTTCGACGATTTACATTTTAAATAGAACCACATCAAGATTCCTGCAGCTACACAATGAAATGGGAGCGTAGCGTTTCCATCTGCAATGGAGGCACATTAGCTTCGTGCCGACAGCGCCCTTCTCTCCAAGATAGTTCTCAGGAAGGTAGGTACATTTCCCATCGTTTCCGCTGCTACTTCTCTCACCTGCACGTCCTCTATGTTGACGACGTACGACGATCGGGAGCGGGTCAGCTCCTCCTTCAGCTGGCGGCCCACGTCGGGGGAGACCATGACGTCCACGGGCCCGGCCCGGTCGCTGAGCTCCGTCCAAAAGTCAACACCTGACAGCGTGGTAATTGGCAGTGGGCGAACCAGAAGGGGCATACAAGAAAGGGAAAGGAAGAAGACGGAAACATGCTTAATCTCACGGAGATTGATCATGAGTCCTCCCGAGCAGGGGCTTCCCCATCGGGGAGGGGGAGGGCGCTGGAGTCCAGACACGCTCAGTCATTTCGCTTCCGTAATCCACCCAAATCCCAATGCATACATAGTGATGCATTTCTGGGTCGGTACCTCTAATCGTGAGAATGTGACGGAGCCCCTCTGCCCAAGGTTCGCTATTTTACATCCGTGTTATTTGTGTGGGCGAATTGTGATGAATGAAGTGTCTCAGCACAAGTGTCATCAGACTGCACAATGCAATAACGGCACTGATGTCATTGCAAGGTATCCACAGCTGCGGAGCTCACATATGCACGACAACTGCAGGCAGACCCTGCGCTCACTAGTTCATAGCTCTATATGGGTTTGGTATCGTATGAGCAAACCTTCAATTGGCTTTTTTAAATGCCACATCCTAGCACAATTTAAATTTTACCTGATGGCAATGCCCAATTAGAAGGCAATCAAAAATTAAAGAAGGTCAACAATTCCATAATTTTACCAGCTTTCTCGCAAGTCCCCAAGAAGGTGAAGACGGCATTTCATTTGGCTACCGATTTGCAAATAATTTAGCTTCTTTCGATTTTAAGTGGTAATTTGACCTTAGTTTGAAAAGACTGATATTTGAAGACTAAATATTTAACCCGCGCCCCACTGGGGTCAGCGTATAACGCGCCCTACGGGGGGGAGGGGGGGGGGGCTATTCATAGACCCCCTCCTAACTCCGAAACTACTAGGCCGATCGTCAAATTGCAAACGGCTTCTGCTAGCCCCGGAAAAACTGTCGAACGAAACCTAATTTCATTGACCTCGAGGACACCGATGACGTCACAGGTCGGGTCAAATAAAAAATTATCGATGTTTGGCTTTTCACATTTTGGGCTCTGGCCGCCGTCTTGCAAGTCAAATCAGGCTCATTTTTGGTTTACACACATGTGAACAGATGCTTTAGATACCCTGAGGGTACCAAACTTGTGCTTTGATTTTCAAGTCAGGGTCAGATCATCACAGGTCACGGAAATCTTATACCATGCGTCAGTCACGTGACATATGTTTTATGGTCCATTTAGGCCATAGATTTCGAATTCGATGTCGTTTATGTCATTCGAGGTCATTTTGAGTTGAATTTAGCTTAGGTCAGGCCACTTTCATGTAAAAAAGGTCAAAATTTGAAGTTGAAATTTTACAACAACAAAAAAACGTGTCTATCGAATGCAGTTTAAGCTCGACAACACGATGGTGCCAATGCCATTCATATTGGTGTACGATGTCAAATACGCACTGAAAAATTTATGTGAAAATCTATAATTGTGATTTTTTGCAATAATGCGTATACATTGGACATTTTTACAGATATCTGGCTAAAACTTGCTCGAGTAAGTCATAAGCAAGTGCTCTATCAGATGTATTTCCGTTGTTTCTAAAAGTCAATTTGAAAAAAAGATAAAAATACAAATTTTGAATTACGCTATTTATCATTTTCAAAAATTTTCAAAATTCTGAAAATCCGAGATAGCAGTTTGACAGCGCAGTTTATTCTCAGTCCTCTCGTGCAAAGAAATTGGACCTATTAACCCTCGCCCTGGAAGGGCATTTTTCATAACACGGCTTGGCAGGGGGGGGGGGTCGATGCGACCCCCCCTCGCGATTGGCTCCTATGGCACCTAGAAACACCAAATTTGGTAGGTGGGTGGGCTCCCTGGAGTTCTCACTCCTCTGCAAATTTGGTTGCTCTAGATCAGTATTTAGGGGGGTTTTAGGGGGTATAAATGCAAAAATTTCGCTAAAACAGGTCAAAAGTTTTTCGCTTATAACTTTTGATCTAATTAAGATAGAGCAAAAAGAAAAGCACCAGTGAACTCAGCACGTCAAGGCGCGTCGAACGGTATACTTTTTAGCTTGCTGGAGTGTACTTAAAGTTTGTCTTAAATTTTAAGAAAACTTTAATTAATTAACCCGCGCCCCACTGGGGGGGGGGCTATTTATAGCCCCCCCTCCCGTTTTTCTGCAATAACTTCCAAACCGCTTGACGGATCGCCGCCAAACTTTCAGTACCTTCGGCTGCATCAATTTGACACCTTGTGTCAAAATTTGAACTTCGTAGCTACCATAGGTCGGCCGGAAATGACGTCAGAGTGACGTCATGTTCGTCCGATTTCGACGCAAAACATTGAACCACGGCAATCGCTCCCAAGAGCTCAGTTTTTAAGCTAGATCCAATTTCTTGACATGAAAGGACTCAGAATTGACCGCGCTATCAAACTGCTATCTCGGATTTTCAAAATTTTGAAAATTTCGAAAAGTTAATATAATAATATTCAAAATTTATATTTTTATGTTTTTTTCAAAAAGTTTTTGACTTTTCGAAAAAACCGGAATATATGTGACAGAACGCATGATTATGACTAACTCTAGCAAGTTTTAGCTAAATATCTTCAAAAATGGCCTAGTTATACGCATTATTGCAAAAAATTCACAATTATTAATTTTTCAAATCAATTTTTCAGTACGTATTTGACATCGTACACCAATATAAATGGCACCATCGTGTTCCTGAGCTCAAACTGCATCCAATATACACCTTTTTTGTTGAAAAATTTTAACTTTAAAATTTGACCTTTTTTTGACCTGAAAGTGACCTGACCTAAACTAAATTCGACTCAAAATGACCTCGAATGACACAGACGACATCAAATTCGAAATCTATGGCCTAAATGGACCATAAAACATGTGTCACGTGACCGACGCATGATATAATATTTTCGTGGCCTGTGATGACCTGACCCTGACCTGAAAATCAAAGTACAAGTTTGGTACCCTCAAGGTATCTAGAGCATCTGTTCACGAGTGTGGAAACCAAAAATGAGCCTGATCTGACTTGTACGACGGCGGCCAGAGCCCAAAATGTGAACAAGCCAAAGTGCTAATAATTTTTACTTTGACCTGACCTGTGACGTCATCGGTGACCTCGAGGTCAATGAAATTAAGTTTCGCTCGATAGTTTTTCCGGGGCTATCAGACGCCGTTTGAATTTTGACGATCGGCCCAGTAGTTTCGGAGTTAGGAGGGGGGGCTATGAATAGCCCCCCCCCCCCCAGTAGGGCGTGTTATACACAGACCCCAGTGGGGCGCGGGTTAACCCGCGCCCTGATGGGGGGGGCCATTTTGGCCCCCCCCTGTGGTTTTTCTTAAATAGCGAGAAAACGGCGGCGCGCAGCGCCGCCAAATTTTGGGTACCTTACCGGGCATCAATTTGACACCTTCACACAAAATTTCAAGTCACAGGTCACCTCAGGTCAGGAGTTATTGAGGTCAAACTGAGGTCATGTTCGAGCAAAAATGAGCAAAAAACATGACATCTTGAAACGCTCACCAATTCTACAGTTAACAAGCAATTTTAAAGTTCTTTATGTGGTTGTGTAGAGAAAAGACGGCGCTACAAAACTGCTATCTCGGATTTTCGAAATTTTGGGATTTTGACCCCCAAAAATAAAAAAAATTGATTTTTTTAGAAAAACTCGAAAATTTTCCAAAAATGTTTCGAATTTCGAAAAAAACCGGAATATATGTAATAGTCCCTGCGCTCTTCGATATACATACCAAATTTTAGATCGATACCTCTTTTTTTGGCCAAGTTATAGCGAAAAAACTGTTAAAAATTGATGACGTCAAATTTTTGAACTCAATTTTTAGCAATTCTAGACCTCGTAGCGCAAAACGGAGACCACCATTGAACTCCCCGTGACGAGCTGCATCGAATCGATACCCATTTTATGCAAAAATATCAACTTTGAAATTTGACCTAATTTGACCTGACCTTGACCTGACCTTGACCTGAACTTGACCAAAACGTGACCTAAACTGGCCCTGAAGTCTGTCTGACCCACATAATCGCATTTGTCATGTAAAATGGACCATAAAACATGTATCACACGACACTTTCATATTGTGACCCCCCAGTGACCTGACCTCTGTGACCTGACCTGGTATCAGTGACCTCAAATAGCAAAATATGTGTTTGAAGAACATTTCTCCATCGATGATTTTCAATGAAATGCATTTTACTCGATTTTACAACGCATTTCTTGAAATGCCTGTAAACGGTGAAAATTCGACCTTTGACCTGACCTGTGACGTCATCGGTTTGACCGAGGTCAATGAAATTGGGTCACAAGGTAGTTCCCCGCTGGGGCTATCCAACACCGTTTACCGCTTGTCGCTATGTTGCGTGGTTCTCGAGATCTGAGGGGGGGGCCAAAATGGCCCCCCCCCCATCAGACCGCGTTGCTCGGCAGACCCCATCTGGGCGCGGGTTAATTAACCCCCACCCCACTGGGGTCTGCGTATAACAAGCCCTACTGGGGGGCTCTTCATAGCCCCCCTCCTAACTCCGAAACTACTGGGCCGATTGTCAAAATTCAAACGGCGTCTGATAGCCCCGGAAAAACTGTCGAGCGAACCCTAATTTCATTGACCTCGAGGTCACCGATGACGTCACAGGTCAGGTCAAAGTAAAAACTATTAGCATTTTGGCTTGTTCACGTTTTGGGCTCTGGCCGCCGTCTTACAAGTCAGATCAGGCTCATTTTTGGTTCACACACTCGTGAACAGATGCTCTAGATACCCTTAGGGTACCAAACTTGTACTTTGATTTTCAGGTCAAGGTCAGGTCATCACAGGTCACGAAAATATTATACCATGCGTCGGTCACGTAACACATGTTTTATGGTCCATTTAGGCCAAAGATTTCGAATGTGATGTCGTCTGAGTCATAATAGGTCATTTTGAGTCCAATTCAGCTTAGGTCAGGTCACTTTCAGGTCAAAAAATGTCAAATTTTAAAGTTGAAATTTTAAACAAAAAAGTAGGTATCTATTATATGCAGTTTGAGCTCAGGAACACGATGGTGCTATCTATATTGGTGTACGATGTCAAATACGTACTGAAAAATTGATTTGAAAAATTAATAATTGTGAATTTTTGCAATAATGCGTATAACTTGGCCATCTTTGAAGATATTTAGCTCAAACATGCTAGAGTAAGTCATAAGCATGCGTTCTATCACATATATTCCGTTTTTTGAAAGTCAAAAACTTTTTGAAAAATGTAAAAATATATTCATTTTATAACATTTTCGAGATTTTCATAAACTTTGAAAATCCGAGATAAAAGTTTGATAACGCTGTCTATTCTGAGTCCTATCATGCAAAGAAATTGGATCTAGCTTAAAAACTGAGCTCTTGGGAGCGATTGCCGTGGTTCAATGTTTGCGTCGAAATCGGCCGAACATAACGTCACTCTGACGTCATTTCCGGCCGACCTATGGTAGCTACGAAGTTCATATTTTGACACAAGGTGTCAAATTGATGCAGCCTAAGGTACTGAAAGTTTGACGTCGATACGTCAAGCGGTTTGGAAGTTATTGCAGAAAAACGGGAGGGGGGGGCTATGAATAGCCCCCCCCCCCAGTGGGGCGCGGGTTAAGTTCAAATTCACCAAATTGCATTATGTCGCATATCATTCGATTCGGCTGATCACAAGGAACACAATGAGACCGTTTTTTAAGCTCTAGCGTCATTATGTGCCAAGTTATTGGCAAAAACGTCATTTGACCTCAGTTGACCTCATTTGACCTGACCCATGGATAAGTACACCAAGCAAAGAAGCACCAAGTGACCTGCTGTTAACCCTCGCCCTGGCAGGGCATTTTTCATAACACGGCCTGGCAGGGGGGGGGGGTCGATGCGACCCCCCCCCTCGCGATTGGCTCCTATGGCACCTAGAAACACCAAATTTGGTAGGTAGGTGGGCCCCCATGAGTTCTCGCCCCTGTGCAAATTGGGTTGCTCTCGGTCAATATTTAGGGGGGGTTTTGGGGGGTATAAATGTAAAAAATTCGCTAAAAACAGGTCAAAAGTTTTTCGCTTATAACTTTTGATTCAATTAAGATAGAGCAAAAAGAAAAGCACCAGTGAACTCAGCACGTCAAGGCGCGTCGAATGATATACATTTTAGCTTGCTTAAGTGTACTTAAAGTTTTTCTTAATTTTTAAGTAAACTTAACTTAATAAATTAAGTTCTAGTTAACCAAATTGCATCATATCGCATATCATTCGATTCGGCTGATCACCAGAAACACAATGATACCATTTTTAAGCTCTAGCGTCATTATGTGCCAAGTTATTGGCAAAAATGTCATTTGACCTCAGTTGACCTCATTTGACCTGACCCATGGATTAGTACACCAAACAAAGAAGCACCAAGTGACATGCTGCTAAGTACTGTGGTTTCAAAGCACAAAAGTGATAGAAAGAAGCGGATATCTCCATTATTTTCCGAATTTAGTATTTTCCCATAGGCTTAACATTACGACGTAATGACCTCTAACTGACCTCAGGTCAGTGACCTCAAAAAACCCGAACTATATGTTATACAACTCGGTGAACTTAGCACATCCTGAAAGTTTGAAGGAAATCAGTCTAAAACTGTGAGTTGGACAGGTGCAAAAAGAAAATTGAAATTTGACCATGACCTTGTACCGGTTTTTCTGACCTAGTGACCTGACCCAAGGTCACTCGGACTTGAAATTTTCAGGTCATATGTAAAAAGGTTGCCCCATAGGCTGTGCCAAATTTGGCGGTGCTGCGCGCCGCCGTTTTTACGCTATCTTCGAAAAACCTTAGGGGGGGGTCGCATCGACCCGCCCTCCCCTGCCAGGGCGAGGGTTAATTAAGTACTGTGGTTTCAAAGCACAAAAGTGATAGAACAAAGCGGACATCTCCAGTATTTTCCGAATTTAGTATTTTCCCATAGGCTTAACATTACGACGTAATAACCTCTAACTGACCTCAGGTCAGTGACATCAAAAACCCGAACTATATGTTATACAACTCGGTGAACTAAGCACACCCTGAAAGTTTGAAGGAAATCAGTAAAAAACTGTGAGCTGGACAGGTGGAAATAGAAAATTGAAATTTGACCATGACCTTGTACCGGTTTTTCTGACCTGGTGACCTGACCCAAGGTCACCCGGACCTGAAATTTTCAGGTCATATGTAAAAAGGTTGCCCTATAAGCTGTGACAAATTTGGCGGCGCTGCGCGCCACCGTTTTTACGCTATCTTCGAAAAACCTAGGAGGGGGTCGACCCCCCCGGAAGCGACTGCCATGGTTCAATGCTTTGCGTCGAAATCGGCCGAACATGACGTTACTCTGACGTCATTTCCGGCTGACCTATGGTGTCAACGAAGTTCATATTTTCACACAAGGTGTCAAATTAATGCAGCCGAAGGTACTGAAAGTTTGGCGTCGATACGTCAAGTGGTTTATAAGTTATTTCTGAATAACTGGAGGGGCTATGAATAGAACCCCCCTCCCCCAGTGGGACGCGGGTTAACCCGCGCCCCGCTGGGGGGGGGGGGCATAATCTGCCCCCTCCCGTTTTTCGCCAATAACTTCTAAACGCGTTACGCCAGCGACGTCAAACTTTCAGTACCTTATCATACATCAATTTGACACGTTCCCTAAAAATTTGAGCGAAATCCGTCTGAAAATTTTTTGAGAAAATGACGTTTTAGTGACGTCATGTTCGCAATTTTCGCCTAAAAAATCGCAAAATTTCAAACGCCGCTAACATCTTCATTTTTAAAGGAATCAAGACGTAACAAAAAAGGTTATACGTGATTCTACTTTGTCTATCAAATGGCTATCTCGATTTTGTGAAAATTTTGGATTTTGGCCCAAAATTTTTCAAAAAAACCGACTTTTTTGGAAAATAATTATTGAATCCAAAATTTTGAGTGTATCAAAAAAAAACGGAATATATGTCAGAGAAGTGGTCTATGTGCACCTACATACCAATTTTGAGATAAATCGGTTCAAAAACGTGGGAGTTATTCAAAATTTTATGACGTCACGACACAGAAAATTTTTGAAAAATGAATTTGTTGGAAGTTCTAGACCTCGTACGGAAACAAAAATAGCACAATTCGACTCGCCGTGAAAAACTGCATCAGAGAGACACCTTTTTAGGCCTTAACAACCAACTTCAAAATTTGACCTCACTTGACCTGACCTTGACCCGACCTCGACGTGAAATTCATCCAGAGGTGGTTCATATCACTAACTGAGTGTGCCTATTGAATTCTATGAATAAAATGACCCATAAAACATGTGTCGCACATGCCCTTTTCTATATTTTGTTTTTGGTGACCTGACCTGACCTGACCTGACCTTGACCTTGACCTTTGAATGATATTGTATGCAACGAATATTGTCTTGGTAGCCTAAGAACACGTTTTGGGCAATTAGTCTCAGTCCATTCTTCGGCAGTTACGGTGCAAGGCCGATACTGTAGAAACTTGCATTTTGTACCCTTGACCTGACCTTGACCTGACCTCTGACTTACTTAAGCAACAAAAATTGGGCTCTTAAGATTCGCCTCGTTGAGAGCTTTCGATTGCCGTTTTCCCCGTCTTTCTACGACCATCGGTTCAGAAGTTAGACAGGGGGGGCAGAATCTGCCCCCCCCCCCCCCCCCCCAGCAGGGCGCGTATGGCTGAATAGCCCAGCGGGGCGCGGGCTAAGTAACATTCGAGCTGCAGCAATAAGGGCCGTTTGATGATATGCTTGAGCGTCGAGATTAGTGAGATAGCGAGACTTTAACTGAAACGGTTGTTACACCGACCCGGTCTACAGGTCAAATCGTCTCACCTGGTCGGCCATGTCCTCTCACCTGGTCACTTACATCCTCCCACTGTTCGCTCGTATTCCCTCACCTGGCCGGTCCTGGTAGCTCCGTAAGATTTCCGCAGTATCCCTCCGGATGACCAGCACCCGAAGCACCTGGTACCCACTGAAGTCGCTATCTTCATCATTATAGTCCATTTTTTTTCAAAAGGCGCACGGCCCGAAAATCGATTTTAGAATTGTCACGTGCAAAGTGATGGTTTTTACAGAAATCAACGAACACCGGCTTGGCACGTTTCGAAAATCACTGGCCGGCTCGGTCGGCTGGTCTCTGACGTCTCTGACTTGCGATAGTTTGAAAAAAAAGTGTAGACATTCGACTCATAATGAGGAACTGTGAATCGAAAATGCTTCCACACGGAGTCTAGCCATAGGCACTAAACAAATGATTGAACTGATGACGTGGATGACCTGTTTGCAGACCTACAAAAGTAACACACGGATTGACATTTTGTTTTAGATTTATTTCTGTTGAGTACAAAAAGAAACATGAGCCAGCATATCTGCCGATCTATTACAATGCTGATCGATCGATTTCTGCACTGGGAAGAAGTCGGGTATGCGCCAACTAAATCTGGAAAGACTTATAAAAAGACGACTAAAGTTTGTAGGTAGCATGCGAGAACACAATGTAAGACAACAATACGGAACGTCACCAGCTTCAGCAAATAATAACGTTTTACATGAGCTTGCCGCTCAGAATTCCGGCCCCCGACAGATTCTGTCTTGAATGTTTAAATAGTTGCCGCTTGCTATTTCTCAAGTGATGGGCTGGCTGTGGAATCAAGTTTAATACAGGAGTGACGTTAAATTTGCATGCAAAATCAACAGAATGGCTCAAATCTATGAATTTACTAACATTCTGCAATGTGACACGATTTAAAAGCTAAATTGAACAACTTGCTCCGTTGCACTGTGCTTATCTTTCAAAAATGGCCGAGAAATTCATCTCAGCTTGCGTTATTTTCTAGCGTCTCGCACGTGCCAACTCCAAAATAATACTTCGGGCCATGAGCCTTTTGAAAAAAAATGGACTATAGTGTCTGATAACTCAGTTGTCACTGTCACCAGCGACAGTGCTAGCAGCAGCATAAGCCTCGGCTGTGCTGTAGAGAGTCGGGGCCAGCCCATAACTCTTTATCTGCGGTAGCTGATGTGGTATCTCAGCTGAAAAAGGCGTCAGCTAGTCAGGCCTCTTCAGACCTCTTCTTCGACGGCACTCTTCTTTCAACGATCACAACATCGTCTACCATCCACAGTCCGCCGTCTACCGTTCACCGTCCACCGTCCACCGCCCGCCGTCCACCCCCACCGTCCACCGTCCGCCGTCCACCGTCCACCGTTCACCGTCCACCGTCCAGCGGCCACTGGCTCTGCCGGCTGCCCCTCCTGCCACCAGCACAGACAGGCGACAGAGTCAGGTTCGACCGTGTAAGCCCGGTCCTGGAGACTGGTATGCGCTGTTCACAGGCTTTTCACGGATTTGCGGTTGACATAGAGGCGACGATCGTGCGTTTAGACAGTGTTCCATGCCACGTCGGTTTCTTTTGCTATCAGCACTCCAGGCTGTCTGGCTTAAAACGGATATCTTGGGCCAATCAAGTAACGAAGTAACAAAGCTTTTAAACCAGCGGGTAATTTTGTGCTGGCATCACAGACCACAAAAGAACTGCGGTGAACTTCTTCAACACAGCTGAGTTCTGGCTAGGATTGAATAATTTCGACAAAAACTTTAATTTGAACTCATGCCCGCCCACTATCGTTGCCGCATCTAAGTCGGGACCATGCGCCAGATCGATCAGGCTATGATTTTGCATCACTCTCAGCATTCGGTCACACGGGGTTAGTGGTTTTGAAGGTCATTTCTTCGTCTCTCATGGCATTAGTCATCGCCACAGCTTGCGATGCTAAACAGATGGTGAGTCCGCGTAACGGTTGTGTCGATAGTGTTATATATTGGCATCGAAAAAAAAAACAACATCAGCTGCAATCAGCGGCTCAAGATCTGAGAAAATAGCAGATGTTTTATTCAAAACTCATCATACCTAGCCTTCGCCCGCACAAGGGGCGAATGCAATGCACCCCTCTTATTTATATTTGAAGAACTGGCGAAGCTGTCGCACAAAGCATAGCCTGGAGTAAAATTTCTTCGTTTTTTTGTGCTTGAATCTCGTTGAGTCGTATCTCATTGCTGGCAATTGGCTTGATCTTTGAGCCTCATAACCTGAAAAGGAGCACAATGTTGTATCAAAAATAATTAAATCATAGTCTGAAGTGTAAATAGAATCGCTGGGGCGATGTGCCACATGTCTCGGCTGGCTACCTTCCTGTGATTTACACACTTGTCTCAAACGTATTGCTAATTTACCTATGCATAAAAGAAAGAAGTTCCAGGCAGCAAAGGCGTAGGATTCGTGCCAATTGTGTTGATTGTTGTTTTGCAATGGTTATTATTTCTTTCATTGTTGCTAAATATGGGATGATATTGGAGATGAATTACCAATTTGAAGGCGCTTTATTTTCAATGCCCTGGCATTCCAGAATCCACATAAGGCGTAAGATGCGTTTCTATCCATCAATAAAGTCTCCTGTCAAAAGGTCACGATGCAGAGAAGGCGACTGCAGCGTGTCGAGCACTAGAATGTAATTTACTTTGGGTAATTGTGAAAATGAGTCATATTCGATCAAATTCACTACATGGTCATTGCCGGATGGGTCTCATGTCGAATGTTCAGTCTTGTTATTATTACAATTTTTGTTGCTAACCCGCGCCGGGCCGGGGGGGGGTGTTTGAACACCCCCCTGCGCTTTTTCGCATATATCTCAAAAACAGCAGCGACACCTGTTCGTGCATCTTTTCCGCACATGTTGTGAAAATTTCAGACCCAGGTCGCCTTAGGTCAGGTCACCAGGTCACGCCAAGTGACCTCACCTCAGAAAAAATAAGAATGCTCGTCATAGCTACACCAATTGATCGATTGCCTTGAAACGTCCAGCGATTGATTAGAGCAACATTATCTATAAAATGTTTATCTCGGAATTTTGATATCGGTGACCTAAGGTCAGGTCAATTTTTGCGGCCTCTCCATTTTAACCCGCGCACCGACGGGGAGGGGCGGATATCCGCCCCCCCCCTTAGGTTTTTCGCGAATAGCGGGAAAACCGCGGCGCGTAGCGCCGCGAAATTTGGTATGACTATTCCCTCATCAATTTTACACATGGTGTGCACGCTTGAACCTCCTACCTTTCAAGGTCAGGTCACCAGGTCACTTTGAATGACCCAACCTCAAGTCACTTTTTTGCAACTTTGTCACCGTGCCAGAGCTACAGTAGATGTCGGAGGCCTTTGAAAGTCGCAGGATGTTATTATGTCATTAGTAGCTACAATTTGTATATCTCGGAATTTTGATATCGGTGACCTAAGGTCAGGTCAATTTCGCGACCTCCCCATTATAAGTCAATGGGGGAAAAATCAACTCCCTGTTTTTACCACTAAAACGGGTCGGAATGGCCCCATATACCATACATGACTTCATATACGATCAACCTTCACTACCTTGAGGTCTGTTTTGCTGTTGGGCAGCTGTGAGGTCATGTGACGTCATCAAAGGTCACCAAAGGTTTTTGGCCAATAACTCCGTACAGGAACAAGATACAGACGCGTGGATGGTCTCATTGTGTTCAGCTCGTCAAGACGCATCGAATGATATACATGATGACCTCGAGGTCACGTGACCTGAGGTCAACCTTTGACCTTGACCTTTCGAGGTCAACATATATATCATTCGATGCGGATTGACGAGAGGATCACGATGCTGCCCTTAGTTTGTTCCTATCTTGACTAATTCGAAAGTTATTCGAGAAAAACTCTCCATTTCCAGCGCCGCCAATTTGACTTTTTCGACCCCTGTGACGTCATCTTTGACCTGACCTGAAAATGACCTTTGTAAAAATTGTAGATCTTGACCGTGCGTATCCGATGCCGTTTACCGCTTGTCGCTATCTTGCTTCGTTCTCGAGATCTCAGGGGGGGGGCGGTCATCCGCCCCCCCCCCCCCGTCGGTGCGAAGTTGGCGCAGACCCCCGTCGGTGCGCGGGTTAACCCGCGCCCCGTAGGGGTGGGGGGCCGAAACGGCCCCCCTGTCCTTTTCGGTCGATATCTCCTAAACGGCTGAAGATATCGCCACCAAACTTTCAGGACCCCTCCGGGCATCAATTTTGCACATTGTGACCAAAAATTTTTCCAGAGGCTATGATAGGTTGGCCACAAATGACGTCAGAGTGACGTCATGTTCTGTCATTTTCGACCGAAAAAAGACCTTCGCGAGAAGACCTGTCAGGACTACAGCTTTGAAGATACAGAAAAAATGATCAATACATAAAAGGTGTAGAATTGACAGGGCTACAAAACTGCTATCTCGGATTTTTGAAATTTTTGAGTTTTGATCCCCAAAAATCAAAAAAGCATTTTTTTATATATTAGCCAAAAAATCCAAAAAGTTTTTTGAGTTTCGAAAAAACCGGAATATATGTGATAGTACCTACCGTCTTCTATCTACATACCGAATTTCAGATCGATACCTCGTTTTTTGGCCAAGTTATAGCGAAAAAACTGTTCAAAAATGATGACGTCAAATTTTCAAACTCAATTTTTGGCAATTCTAGAACTCGTAGAGCAAAACAAAGACCACCATTAGACTCCCCGTGACGAGCTGCATCGAATCGATACCCATTTTATGCAAAAATATCAACTTTGAAATTTGACCTAATTTGACCTGACCTTGACCTGACCTTCACCAAAACGTGACCTAGGCTGGCCCCAAAGGCTGCCCAACCCACATAATCGCATTTGTCATGTAAAATGGACCATAAAACATGTATCACACGACACATTCATATTGTGACCCCCGGTGACCTGACCTCGCTGTGACCTGACCTGGTATCAGTGACCTCAGATAGCAAAGTATGTGTTTGACGAACAATGTACCATCGATGGTTTTCAATAAATTACCAATTTACTCGATTTCACAGGACATTTCTTGAATTGCCTGTGAACGGTGAAAATCTGACCTTTGACCTGACCTGTGACGTCATTGGTTTGACCTAGGTCAATGAAATTTGGTCACAAGGTAGTTCCCGGGTGGGGCTATCGAACGCCGTTTGAATTTTGAAAATCGGCCGGTAACTTTCCGAGATCTTAGGGGGGGGCCGAAACGGCCCCCCCCCCCCCCTACGGGTGGTAGGGTCTGCCGGTAGCCCTACGGGGCGCGGGTTAAGTCAATGGGAGAAAATTGGAAAGTGTCTGTTTTGCACGAACGCTATTCTAGACACTCTCAAACATCGAGATGTAGGTAAAATTGGCACACTGAACCGGAAAATGGCAACTGTGACCCCTCGTTATGTCCCCGATGTCATCTCAGGTCACGAACAGACTCTACCAGTTTTTCGCTAATAACTTCTGATAGAGGCGTGCTAGAGCGCTGAACACGCCTTAGGTGTGTTCGGCTCGACGTCGCGGATCGACTGATATTCAACATGACCTTTTCCGGTGAGGTCATAACCTTGACCTGAGGTCAAATTTTCCAATTGACCTTTCAAAGTCAAATTATAATTCATTCGACGCGTCTTGACGAGAGAAACACGATGCTGGCAAAAGTAATGTCATGGCTCTTTTGAGTCAAAAGCTATTGCCGAAAAAACGCTTTTCGTAAAAACGGCTATTTTTGGAGTTTTTGCCCTCTGGAGGCTAAACGGTTGACCGGAGGTCAAATCTGAGAGCATTCTTCAGAAAGGTCAGTAAAAGGGCTATCGACTGCGCTTTTCCGCGGCGCTCTAGCTCTATCGATTCCCGAGATAGCCGTCGGCAGTTTCCAAAATGTTGAAATAGTCAACATTTTACCTTTGGTGACCTCTGGTGACCTGATCTTTGACCTGACCCAAAAAATGACCGAGTGTTTTGGTCCTTATTTTAGACGTTCTTTCGATTGCCGCTTACCGCGTGTCGCTACGTGGCCCAGGAGCCGAGTTAGAAGGGGGTGTTCAGACACCCCCCGGCCCAGCGCGGAATCTCAGAGCACCGCCCCGGCGCGGGTTTACTCGTAGGCATGCGTTGTTGCCTTTCCGTAAAAGCTATGACATGCACCCCTGAACCATTCAAGACAGACATGTTCAGTATTTGTTGCTTGTATATTTACCACCCTCGTGTTCAGACATGTAGACAAAAATCAGCGTAAAACTATGCATATAATAGCTCTGTCACAGAGGTGACCGTTTACGGTGCACGCTGTATAAAATGCATATTTTACAAACACCAGTAAGTATGAAAATAGGTACAACAGTCTTCTAAAAACATTCATTCTTATGAAAATCGATCTTACGCTTCAATGGTAGATCACATAGGGTAAGTGGCTCCTATCACGCACACGTCCTAAACACGCACACCAATGACTCTTTTTAATATAGCTGCCCAAGCAGATGTGTAGAAAGCATAAATCGACCGAAAACGATTTCTGGCAACATTTGTGCCGCGGCGGCCAGTTGTTTCAGCGCTCTCGCATCAAAAGGTAAGTAATGATGGCATGTTTTGTAAAGGAAGTGCTGATTTTTAACGCTGAAAAAGTGCCTGATATAATAATGCGTGGTTCGGTGTGCATTAATTTTTCACGGAACCATTAATATACCAGATAGATTATCAGGCATCAATTTGTGGCCAATACGTCCTTGTTTTCTTTGATCATACGTGTTTTACCTGAAATGCGTCGAGGAAGACAGGAAAGGGCTGAATGTGAAGCGTGCGTGTTTAGGGCAGCTGGTTCTTTAATGACGCACAGGTGCCATGCTGCATTAATGCACATACATCAGATGGATTTTTTAACGTTTCTCTTTAGAGGGAACGGTTTAAATCGCATTACTGTGATACGTTAACATTTGACAGGGTTCTGGAAGATTGATGATCCCCTGCGTTTTGACAAAAAGCCAAGGGATTAAAACCAGGCCCGGGGGCTCGGACGGTGACTCCAGGGCGGTGTTTCACGGCCGCTAGCAGCGCGCTGTCTGCACACGTGTCAAATTGGGTTTCCACGGAGACCAACAAACTCGTATATCCAACACAGCTGCAAACTGTGACATCAGCTCGCGAAATGCGCTGGCAGTGTGCTGCCATCGGCCGTGAAACACCGCCCTGGCCCGGGGCTCGACCACCGAGATCGGACCAGGGGACTCGGCTGGAAAGCCCAGGGTCTCGGGTGGTGAGATCGGGCCCGGAGCCTCAGGTGTGAGACCGGGGCCGGGGTCCCGGACTGTCGGGCGATGAGACTTTAGGCCCGGGGTCTCTGGCGGTAAGACCGGGCCCGGGGTCTCAGGCGGTGGGACTAGGCCCAGGGTCTCGAGCGGTAGGACCGGACCCAGGGTCTCGGCCGGAGAGACCGAGTCTGGGGCACTTTCAAATAAAGCGATTTGTCCATACTTATTTCGATGATTTTGATCCCCATCCTGTCATCTCTTCCTGTGCGCATTTGAAGCATGTGCATGTGCGTAATAACAACACTGATGCTCTATAAGCGCACACCGAGAGTTGGTCGACGTTTGGCCTTATATATCATAAATGATAGAAAACCGCTGAAAAGCAAATGCCGGGCTAAACAAAGAAATGTTTAGGACAACCACTGGTACCAACCTTGTCAACATGATAGGCGTCAGTAGGCCACACGAGTAGTTTTCCTGTTAGGTGTGCGTGATAGGGGCCACTTACCCTAACACGCAACAATTCCCCAACTGTTCCCAAGGGCAAATAAACATAACAGACAACAAAGCACAACAAATGGACGGCATATGAGCGCATACCATCATGAGCAGCCGTCCAGACAATTCATGCTTTCGCCCGCAGGCTGTGATATAATAACTATATCGACCCGATGTTGGATGAAATCAGCTCAAGTAAAAAAATAAAAACCTACCGTACAAAAAAAAAATCGCGAGTGACGAAAAATAGAGGAATTCCGTTAAAATAGCGAATTTATCGCTAATCTCAGCATTATCAGTAAACTTTCACTTTCTTTCATCTTATTTATATTCCGTTTAGCTTCTTAGTTCTTACCTCTAACATCAACCAGGTAAGCTCAGAACAGTATTTACAATATCGTTTTGCTTGAACATTGTTTTGGCCGACCATATCGCGCCCTGCCCGGTTCTGGGGAGCTCTCGCTGTGGCCCTGTGCTAGGCTTTGTCGTCCAGTTCAGCACTCGTGGTGATCATGGTATCGACGGCGGCCACAATCTCGGTGCACGTGTCCTCTATCTGGCTAGCGGACAGCAGGAAGCCCTGTCGGCCCTTGTCGCGCAGCTCGAACGTGAACGAGTACTTGATGCCGGCCTTGGACTTGGCCCAGTCGTCCGAGCCGCCGGCCGCCTCGTACAGCAGCTGCGAGGCCTGGCCCACCCGGTAGGCTTTGCCGGAGGTGCGGCGGATAGCCTTCTCCCCGGCTTTGGCCACGCGGAGAAGCTCCTTGTAGTCGGCCGGACGCTCCTTGCTGAACGCGTACGGAACGAACAGCATCTGCGAGTAGCTGGAACACGGGCACAAAGGGGAGTGTCCGTCAGGATTGAGCGCAAGACGTGCGGCTGTAACTTGTGCATCACCAGGACTGGTATCTTATCACGTTCTCTCAGTCACCTTAGCGTCTTTATCCAGTTAAAGGCCATGTCAGCGATATTATTCATTCATGAAGCAGTGCAGCTGCATGTGGCGCGGGTCCGATAGCTGAAAGGTCGCTCGCTGGTTTCATGAGCGAGCAAAATTCATGAAACCCTCAAAGCATCCAGTATAACACACGTAAAGCTGTACAGACACTCACCTGTGGAAGGAGATGTACATCTTCATGGCGTGCACGCGTCCCAGCAGGAAGTCACGCAGAGCGCGGGTCTCCGGCTCAGAGAACGGCCGTGAGCCGGCGTAAATGTCGCTGCACGGGTCCATCGAGCTGCCCGTCTGGAACGAAGGCCATGGGAGGGCGCGTTATCCCACTGCCCCTCCAGCAAACAGTCCAGCAATCAGCATGGGCAGCATTTAGCGGTATCAGACGCCCAATGTCTCGCATATTATTGCTGCCATATCAATCTTTCCGCATAAACCATATTTCGGTCCATAAAATAATCGGAGGAGGGTCACTACAACCGTAGTTAACCCACGCCCCACTGGGGTCTGTGTATAACACGCCCTACTGGGGGGGGGGGGGGCTATTCATAGCCCCCCTCCTAACTCCGAAACTACTGGGCCGATCGTCAAAATTCAAACGGCGTCTGATAGCCCCGGAAAAAAACTGTCGAGGAAAACCTAATTTCATTGACCTCGAGGTCACCGATGACGTCACAGGTCAGGTCAAAGTAAAAATTATTAGCACTTTGGCTTGTTCACATTTTGGGCTCTGGCCGCCGTCTTACAAGTCAGATCAGGCTCATTTTTGGTTTCCACACTCGTGAACAGATGCTCTAGATACCTTGAGGGTACCAAACTTGTACTTTGATTTTCAGGTCAGGGTCAGGTCATCACAGGTCACGAAAATATTATATCATGCGTCGGTCACGTGACACATGTTTTATGGTCCATTTAGGCCATAGATTTCGAATTTGATGTCGTCTGTGTCATTCAAGGTCATTTTGAGTCGAAATTAGCTTAGGTCAGGTCACTTTCAGGTCAAAAAAGGTCAAATTTTGAAGTTGAAATTTTTCAACAAAAAAGGTATCTATTGGATGCAGTTTGAGCTCAGAAACACGATGGTGCCATTTATATTGGTGTACGATGCCAAATACGAACTTAAAAATTGATTTGAAAAATTAATAATTGTGAATTTTTTGCAATAATGCCTATAACTTGGCCATTTTTGAAGATATTTAGCTAAAACTTGCTAGAGTTAGTCATAATCATGCGTTCTGTCACATATATTCCGGTTTTTTCGAAAAGTCAAAAAATTTTGGAAAAAAATATAAAAATATAAATTTTGAATATTATTATATAAAATTTTCGAAATTTTCAAAATTTTGAAAATCCGAGATAGCAGTTTGATAGCGCGGTCAATTCTGAGTTCTTTCATGCAAAGAAATTGGATCTAGCTTAAAAACTGAGCTATTGGGAGCGATAGCCGTGGTTCAATGTTTTGCGTCGAAATCGGACGAACATGACGTCACTCTGACGTCATTTTCGGCCGACCTATGGTAGCTACGAAGTTCAAATTTTGACACAAGGTGTCAAATTGATGCAGCCGAAGGTACTGAAACTTTGGCGTCGATTCGTCAAGCGGTTTGGAAGTTATTGCAGAAAAACGGGAGGGGGGGCTATCAATAGCCCCCCCCCCCCAGTGGGGCGCGGGTTAAGGAAAACAAGTCAGCACCCAGGGCCTCAAAGGTTTATCCAAAAGTTTCTTACCAGAAGAGTTTCGTTCTCCATTTGCCATCGGCTCGTGGTCAAAATTCAGTCAGCAAAAATACTTCGTATTTCAGGTGATTTGTCTAAATTGGGTCTAACTTCCAGAACTTCAGAATACCATGACGCCTGAATTAGTTTATCTGCAGCTAAGCGTCCCGGCTGTGGAGAGGACTTACTTCGCCCCAGTGGGCGTCGAAGTTTCGGTTAGGGTCGGCTCCAATACAGCTACTGCCCGGGTTACGAGACCGCGTCTTTCTCCAGAAGCGACGGCGCCCTGAAAAAAAGAATGGTTAGTGATAAAAGTAGGTAAAAGCGCTTATATGCCACAAAAAACGTATTGAATGGAATTCAAATTAAATGAGACAAAATTCAGAAATTGGAGACCAGCATAACTTCGCTATCATATTTTCTTTTTATTTATTCGAACTCTCACTTACAGACTGGTGTTTGATTCATCCGTGATTGAATCGATTTGATTGAATCAAACAAAATTTGCTGAATCAAAAAGGTTTGATTCACCGTCAGGATTGTTTGATTCACAAGCCATGATTGAATCAAACGCATTGGGAATCAGGGTTGATTGAATCAAAAAAATTAATGATTCATGAACTTAAAAAAATTGAAGTGAACGAACATAGTTCATTATCAACAAATATTAACACTACTGCCATTACATGACAACAAAAAGAACACAGCAAATACAATACTATCCCTGATATTTTGTATATTTTATTTTTTAATTGAATCAAAAAAGAATCATTCAAAAAAAAAAATTGGCTGAATCAAACGTGAATCATTCCTATATTGTTTTTTGATTCTCTGAATCAAAAGGAAGCGATTCACCAAATTTTTGAAGGAATCAAACGGTGATTGAATCAAACAAAAATCAAATGAATCAATGATTGAATCGATCCAAAAAAGGTGAATCAAAAACCAGTCTGCTCACTTATTGGTGGTTTTTACTTTGTATCAAAATTGATTGCTCTTTACAGAAAACATTTCATTTTTCATGGTTTGTGTTTTAGCCAACTGGTGAACAATTGTGTCTGATACGCACTGCCGCCGCTGCGAGTGTACTCGTAGCCATCCGGGTTGAGGATGGGCAGCATGTAGATGGTGTGCTTCCTCAACAGGTCCTGGTGGTTGACGGAGCGCTGGGAGTACTCCCGAATCAGACAGGAGACGACGGCCGGCGACACCCACTCGCGAGCGTGGATACCTGGAGGACGGAGACAGACAGGCAAGGGGTGAGAGAAGGGAGGGAGAGAGAGAGAGAGAGAGAGAGAGAGAGAGAGAGAGAGAGGGAGAGGGAGAGGGAGAGAGAGAGAGAGAGAGAGAGAGAGAGAGAGAGAGAGAGAGAGAGACAGAGACAGAGACAGAGACAGAGAGAGAGAGAGAGACAGAGACAGAGACAGAGACAGAGACAGAGACAGAGACAGAGACAGAGACAGAGACAGAGACAGAGACAGAGACAGAGACAGAGACAGAGACAGAGAGAGAGAGAGAGAGAGAAAGAGAGAGAGAGAGAGAGAGAGAGAGAGAGAGAGAGAGAGAGAGAGAGAGAGTCGTGCACAGTGATTGATGACTGGCTGCAGTCATTCTACTGAATGATGGCAAGCGTGTTGCCTTTTCTTTCATCTTGGGAAACGCTATACATTCCACCCAAAGATTATACCATTATCCTTTGACGATGCTTCAATATGAGCTCCGCTCTCTCGAATGATAACAGCGCTGAACTTCCTGTTGATCTATCGCACGGCTCACCCACCTCCGTCAATCCAGACCTCGCGCTTTCCCAGGCCGCACTTGACGCCCCTGAGGTCTCTGCCCTCGGTACTGGTGCCGATGCTGAACGTCTCGCAGAGTCCCTTGTAGTTCTGCTCGATAAAGTCCATGTACTGGTGGTGGTCGTCCGCCGAGTGGTAGGCCGTCCAGGTCAGCGGGTGACCGCTGCGACCCACCAGCAGCTCCCGCTCCGTGTCAGACATGACGGGGCTCTCCTCCTCCACGGCCGCCTGTAGGAGGCCAGAGGTCAGAGGTCAGTGGTCAGAGGTCAGTGGTCAGTGGTCAGTGGTCAGCGGTCAGCGGTCAGAGGTTAGTGATCAGCGGTCTGTGGTCAGTGGTTAGTGGTCAGTGGTTAGTGGTCAGTGGTTTTCGGTCAGTGGTCTTTGGTCAGTGTCAGCGGTCAGTGGCTGGTCAGTTGCCAAGTGGTCAGAGGTCAGCGGTCAGCTGACCTCTGACCTCAGTCAGTAAGTGTTTGTCTGTCAATGGTCTGTGGTGGGTAGATGGCGGTCAGCGGTCAGCATCGTCTAAAAGTCGGATTACAAGCCAGCGGTCGATTGCACTCACCGCACTGTGCGGTGCGGTAAGTGCAATGTTCGGTGTGAGTGCTTAGAGATCAGCAATCAGCGGCTAATGCCAGGCTTCGAAAAACAACAAACGAACGCGCTTCTGACAAGACCGCCCAAACCGGTTCAGAGACCAGTATGGAAATGCAAGAAAGCTCTGTCAAATCAATCGGTGATCAGTGTCGGAGGATGATGGAAACTTGGCACTGCTGCTATTTCAGACGTGCAAAAACAGGATCGATGGTGCAGTGATGGATGGCTTTGACAGCCGATTGGTATGCAGAGACTGTGAGGTGGCTCGGAATGTCGCCTGCAGCTCTGTTTGCTTTCACGCACGAGGGGCACCAGCTCTGAGCTCGCTCACAGCTCGGCCCGCTCACCTGCACGTCCTCAATGTTGACGGTGTAGGAGGCCCCGGAGCGTGTCAGCTCCTGCTTCAGCCGGCGGCCCACATCGGGGGCCACCAGGACGTCTACGGTGGGGTTCAGGCCGCTCGCCGGCGTCCAAAAGTCCACATCTGACAGAGAGAGAGCCGATACGTCACATACGATATTCGATGCCGCCGATGTCACCCCATAAAAGCTTCTGCAGGGTAGGGGAAATGGGGAAAGGTTACATGATCTGCGAGCAGAGTGGCACAGCGCTCAAGGGCTGCTCGAGATAGGATGCGGTTGATATGTTTTGAAATAACTACCTATGTCTAATTCGGTGATTGTTAACCTTATTTACGGTTATTATTGGCCTATTTCATTAGGACTGTTTCAATAGTTCGTAGCAAATAGGAATTTAATTTACGGGTTTTCAAACAGATCCATAGTTCGCCTTGTGCTTTGAGGCATGTGGTAAGATGTGGTTGCACATTTTCCCCGATATCATTCGATATCGAATAATCTCTTAAATTTTGCGAAAATGCAAGAGGCGTCAATCTTCAATCATACCTGAGTACATCAATTCTCGGAGAAGCAGTATAAATACATGTAAACATAAGAAATTGAATTATCGTATACATTTTCCAATTCAAAACGAACAATAAGTACAAATGATGGCACGGCATACACCTAACGTCGCAAACGCCAAACGTACCATCATTTAATCAGACTGTTATCGTATAATCGTAATGATGACCGCTCATAACTCTGCTACGAACTGTATGGAGCGCACGCAGTTTGACATGGGACTACGATGACTACGATAGAACATGGTCATCGTGTAATATGGTCATTGTATGTAGTCCCATACCAAAGCAACCACGAATCCTTCCACCGTATTCCTTCCAAACTCCGCCATCGTGCCCGCACCGCCACTCACCTGGGTTGCCCTCGAAGCTGCGCAGCAGATCCAGGGTGCCGTTGTTGGCCACGAACACCTTGAGCACCTGGTGACCCTGGTAGTCCTCACCGCCGACACCCTGCCCGGCCGGCCGGCCAGCGTCGGCCGGCAGACTCTGCACGTGCACACGCGCCGCGCTGGGGCTGGCTGTCAGCGCCAGCACCAGCGCCAGCGCCAGCGCCGGGACCAGCGGCGGCGAGCGGAGCGGCCGGGAGCGGGCCATGCTGACGGGACGGCGGAGCGGCCGGCAGTGCGAGCGGCGCCGGCCGCCCGACCTGCCGCCCCCAGTGGGTCGACCGGTCGGTCGGCCGGACGCACGGCTCAGCGCGCGGGCACGGCGGCGTTTCACCGGCCCGGGCTGCTGACCCGGGAGTGTCACCCTCTCCAGCGGCGGTCGGGTGAGATCGACAGCGGCACCGACAGCCGCTCCGATCGAATTGAGATTGTGAGTCAGGAAAGCTACCAAGTGACTTCAAAAATGTCTGCAGAGTCGAATGATGTGCAACATGACCCCCTTCAACAAACATCGTGAGCACTAGCAGGGCTCACAGCAGATCACAGCAATACTGTGATCTCTTGACCTGGCCTTCATCTGCAGGTAGCACGACCTTCCTGAAAATCGACGTGCCTGGACGTGACGAACACGAATATTCCAAAGTTTTGGCTCTGAAATCATTTTTAACAATGCTGTTCGCCTAAACCCTCGCCGGATCTATTGGTTTTCTACATACGCGCCGGCCGAGAGGGGGGGGGGGGGCGGATACGACCCCCCTATCGCCGTTTCGCCCCTGGTGGAGCTAGCGCTTCGCAGGAAAAACGAGCGTGTGCGCCGTTACGAGACGCAAGATTGGTACCCGATTTTTAGGTCCTATGTCAACCGGTGACCTCTGAGGTCAGGTCAAGTGCCCCAAGGTACACTTCCGTTTTTGGTGAATAACTTCGCAAAAAAACGGCCACAGAGCTGTGATTTGGGCAGCATCGTGTTTACCTCGCTCAGGCGCGTCGAATGGTATACTTTTTGTTTGGTCGAGGTCAACTTAGGGTGTTGACCTCGGGTCACGGTCAGGCCAGCGCCCCCAGGTCACCAAACTGGTCGAAGGAGGTCATGTTGCATATCATTCGATTCGCCAGGTCTTCCTGGGTCCATTGGTGGCTTTTCCGACTCGCTAGTTCAATTTCTTCGTGAGTTAGTGACGACAAACTAATATGACCCTAATGACGGCATAAATGACGTCACGGAAGGTCAACATTGCAAAAGTGACGCATTGAACCTTGCAAGGAGTGCATGAAATCACGATTCTGTGTGCTTGAGATAGTTCGAGATCATTCCCGGAGCCAGGATAGCAGTTTTCATTTTTCCCCGTTGACTTTTCATGGTGAGGTCATGAAAATGACCTGACCGCATATGACCTTTAGGAAAAATCCGAGATATACAAGTTGCGCGACTCCTAATGGATACTAGTTCCTGCAAGTTTCATTTACCTGTGAAAGCTCTCCTGGCAGTGAGGGCGTTGCGGAGTTGCAACATCTGAAGACCGTGCAGAGGTTTACTTATGACGTCATAGGTCAATGACTTGACCTGACCCGAAAATGCGGTTGGTGTCAAAAGATCTGGCTTGAATCAAAGGTCAGGTATGCCAAGTTTCAGCTATCTATCGTTAGCGCGTTCGGATCTATCGCGAAAAATCCTATGGGGGGGGGGGGGGGGCGGCACCCGCCCTCCCCTTGGCCGGCGAGGGTTAAACCGGACACCTATCTTGAGATACCTATTCGAATTGACCTCAGAGCTCAACGGTTTGAAGCTTTTGCAATTGGGTCCAGTCGCAGCGTCCAGCTAAATTAGGGGCAAAACGGCGAAGATCGAGCTCAACCAATCAAGCGTAACTATGCATGTAGAAAACCGATGGATTCGTTAAGAGTCAAAGTTAGGGTCATGACGTTGCTGAAAGGCTGTTTATCATTCACCATAACAGGGCTGGTCACCGACTAATAGCCCAATCAGTTTTTATAAATAGCTTTTGCTACAGGCAACAGATCATAAAACATTTAAATGCATCCCTAAAAAGAGCAGAAACACGTTTTCCGCCTATAAGCCAGTTCAGCCCCCGTGTGCTTTGCTCGTCTGCCACCGAGTATAGCAAAGTAACCCGATCAGCAATACTGTGATCTCTTGACAAGACTCTAACCTTGCGTCAGTATTTTGAGATACAGCTTTACTGTCATTGCTGAGTATTGGTGCTGTTCTTATACCGCTGAAATGCGTATAGGTACTGTTTATAGAATAAGTTCTGACAGTACTGTCGGTACTGTCGGCGCTATAATGTCGGACTGTTGTTACTGCCAGTAGGTACTCCTGCACAACTGTTCATGCTGTTGGTTCTGTTCTGTTGGCAGATGTTGGCAATGCTAGCTAAGAGAAATGCTGATACCCTTAGCACTGCACGTAGGTATATGTTTCGGTGCTCTCAGTACCACTGTGACTGCTACTTTTATACCAGCGCCTATTTGAAACGGGTACTGACCACAGAAAGTCACGTTGATCCGCCGCCTCTCAGCGTAGAACCGGTCACGTGATCAGTCCCCAGATGTTGTCAGCAGCTCTCTCGGACAACACGGTCCGACGCCACCCGTCCGGCCGCCCGCGGATCGGCTATAGGTCAACGCACCACCATCCGCATTCTGACCTCAGGGGCTCAGCTTAGCTTCCTGACGCGGCGGCCAGGGGCGGGGAAACTGGAAACGCACCCTGTCCGGCCGGCCGGGTCTCTGGGGGTGGGGGGAGGGGGAGGTGGACTGGCTGCGGGCTGTGGCTGAGGGGCCGACAACACTCAGCTGTCAGAGGTTATAGAGGTCACATCACAGCGGACCATAGGTCACAGAAGCCAACACACTAAACATACACAGAGACCGTCGGTCAGCTGAGAATGGAATAGCGGAGGCTATTATTGGGTGAGGTAAGCTCATCGGGTTTGCCGTATGCACTTCACAGCACGCTATAATCTTCTAACGAACGATCTGTTCACCTTTAACTGTCGCTCTAATATGCATTGTGCACTATTTATGACCCATCATGCAATCAGTCTACAGACAGGGCGTGGTCCACGGCCCGCCTGCAGCGGCCAGCAGATCGTGAGTGGGAGGTCCCTACTGCATGGCGGTAAAGTGCACTTATTAGCAGCGGCGGCCGCCGCCTCCGGTCGGGCGCTCCATCACCACGTGCAAGCTGACCTAGCCGGGCGGATCGGGCCTCCGGGGGCGCCGGACTGCCAAACCTGGCACTAATGCTGCGCAGAGCGGGGCCATGGAAGCGATAACCGGGTGTCCAGCTGGTGGATATTTTAAAATGGACAGGCCATGACATGAGATATTATTTGTTGGTTAAGTACGTACGTAAGCTTCGTCGTCATGGAAAATACGCTCGATTTTTCGACAAGTGCTAGCGTGATCTTAGGGTCCGAATGGCTGGGGAGGACTCCGATCGAACCGATCATCTGCTATAGGTCGCTAGTGGCGTTAAAACATCAATACCTACATTCCTACCGACAAGGGTTAATCCGTTGGGGTGGGTGCCGAAACGGCCCCTCTCCTTTTCAGCCGCGGTCTCCAAAAGTATAGCAGATATAGTCACAAAACTTTCAGGACCCGTATGGGCATCAATTTCACACCTTGTGACCAAAATGCTTTTTCAGAGCCCTTGATAAGTTCGCCACAAATGACGTCAGAACGACGTCATGTTCTGCCGTTTTCGACCCAAAAAAAAGTTTTGCAGGAAGGCGTCGCCAGAAATTTTCGGTTGGGGGGGCAAAATCAACTTTTGTGTCAAAACTTGCCTTTCCCCAGTCTTAACCCGCGCCCCGTAGGGCTACCGGCGGACCCTACCACCCGTAGGGGGGGGGGGGGGCGTATCGGCCCCCCCCCCCTAAGATCTCGGAAAGTTACCGGCCGATTTTCAAAATTCAAACGGCGTTCGATAGCCCCACCCGGGAACTACCTTGTGACCAAATCTCATTGACCTAGGTCAAACCGATGACGTCACAGGTCAGGTCAAAGGTCAGATTTTCACCGTTCACAGGCAATTCAACAAATGTGCTGTGAAAGCGAGTAAATTGGTAATTTATTGAAAACCATCGATGGTACATTGTTCGTCAAACACATACTTTGCTATCTGAGGTCACTGATACCAGGTCAGGTCACAGTGAGGTCAGGTCACCGGGGGTCACAATATGAATGTGTCGTGTGATACATGTTTTATGGTCCATTTTACATGACAAATGCGATTATGTGGGTTAGGCAGCCTTTGGGGCCAGCCTAGGTCACGTTTTTGTGAAGGTCAGGTCAAGGTCAGGTCAAATTAGGTCAAATTTCAAAGTTGATATTTTTGCATATAATGGGTATCGATTCGATGCAACTCGTCACGGGGAGTCTAATGGTGGTCTTCGTTTTGCTCTACGAGTTCTAGAATTGCCAAAAATTGAGCTTGAAAATTTGACGTCATCATTTTTGAACAGTTTTTTTCGCTATAACTTGGCCAAAAAACGAGGTATCGATCTGAAATTTGGTATGTAGATAGAAGACGGTAGGCACTATCACATATATTCCGGTTTTTTCGAAACTCAAAAAACTTTTTGGATTTTTTGGCGAATATATCCAAAAAAATGCTTTTTTGATTTTTGGGGGTCAAAACTCAAAAATTTCAAAAATTCGAGATAGCAGTTTTGTAGCCCTGTCAATTCTACACCTTTTATGTCTTGATCATTTTTCTGTATCTTCAAAGCTGTAGTCCTGACAGGTCTTCTCGCGAAGGTCTTTTTTCGGTCGAAAATGACAGAACATGACGTCACTCTGACGTCATTTGTGGCCAACCTATCATAGCCTCTGGAAAAATTTTTGGTCACAATGTGCAAAATTGATGCCCGGAGGGGTCCTGAAAGTTTGGTGGCGATATCTCCAGCCGTTTAGGAGATATCGACCGAAAAGGACAGGGGGGGGGGCCGTTTCGGCCCCCCCCCTACGGGGCGCGGGTTAACCCTATTCCTGGCGGGCTCCGCCGGGACAAGAAACTGGCGGGGGGGGGCCGATTCGGCCCCCCCCTGAGATCTCGAGAATGAAGCAAGATAGCGACAAGCGGTAAACGGCATCGGATACGCACGGCCAAGATCTACAATTTTTACTAAGGTCATTTTCAGGTCAGGTCAAAGATGACGTCACAGGGGTCGAAAAAGTCAAAATGGCG